AATTTGTACATATGTAGTAAGTGCAAGTGTATGAAGATGTACACACTTTTCCCAAGGCGCAATATAAATGCTGCAGTGGGACTATTTTACCGACGTTTTTTGTTTGCTTAAGGCATTTGCAAAACGTAGAAAACAAAAACAATTATTAAATATTATAAAGTGTGCTCTTGGCGAAAAATAATGCAATGCGTGTGAGTAAGCTCATTTATTTGTCTTATCTGCGTTATTAATTTTGTTTTTTTAATTTCGCGTTTGTATTGAATGAAACTGAAAGTTGTGGTCAACGTAACTCTGTATTATATACATAGGTAGTCGTTTTTGTTTCACAGGGATACCAACTGTTGACATAGAGTCATAGAGTCAGCTGTCGAGGACGGCTCTAAGTTCGAACTTTATAGAATCTGGTCAATGGTGGACTTGACACGACCGAAACCACACTGATAAGACCAAATAAATTGGTTTTTATTTACAAGCCTTATGGACGCTCATGTTTATACCCCATATGCGTGCCTCTAAAAGCGAAATGGTGGACATTTTTTAGGGAAGCAAAAATTCATAGTAAGCGAGGGCAAGCAGACGTACAAAGCGATGAGCGCGCATGGAACCTTACGGAGTAAAAAAATTTCCAAAAATCAACGTTAAGTTGCAGCTACTTTAGACTTACACTTTATTAAACTAAAATTGAATGGACTACAAAACTGCATACTCAAAATATTTCTAAAAAAACGAATTAAAAAGCTCGACATTTTTGCGAAAGTTTGTTGATATTTTTTTTTTTAGTGTTTCACAAAGATTGAAACTTGGATTTATGTATATAGGTTTTGTTACAGAATATACTATATTTTTGTAAACAAACTAGCAAATACCGTGCATGCTTCACTGTGCCTTAAAAGTATTTTTCCATATTGTAATATTTCATATATATTATCAATTTAATTAAATACATTTTTTCAAACAGGTGGCAACCCACCTTAAAAATATTTTCGGAAGTAAACTTTCCTAAACATCTTCAGTTTGATGCCCATAATGCAATATTTAATTTATCTTATCAATTAAATTAAATTAAAATTTTAAAACGTGTGGCAACCTTCACAAAAATATTTTCGTCTGTAAGCCTTTTTAAACCGCTTTCTTTTGAAAGCCATATTGCAATGTTTACTTTATCCTATTAATTTACTTACACTGCAATTTTCAAACAGGTGGCAACTCTCTAATTTTTTTCTATATTTTATAATGTACAGACATAATCAAAATTAAAAAAAAATATTAAGATAAATGGTAAAATCTTGCCAATATGTGAGTGTGGTAAAATTATGATAAGCACTATATAGGGGCATGCGGGTTTAAACTCATGTTAATGCTTAACACTGAACTGTGAACTTGGCCTTGCGCGCTTAAAATTTAAATCTTGGGGCATACTTTTGGAGGCAGCAGTTAGCCCAGCAGTGATTGGAAGGAGCTGTATGTAGTCAAAAAAAGCATTCAACACAAAACTATACAATATAAAAATAAAATATGCTTGAATAAAATTCCTCTCAAAGCCGGAGGTTAGCACAGCCTCGACATTGTCGCCAAAAGCGCGCTATAAGTAATTCCGTTTGCCACCTCCTATTGCCTCTTATTTCACTATGTACTTGTGTCCGCATCACAATAACAGGCCTTGCGTTTGGTTTTTGTTAAGCGACGATGACGCTGGCGATGCCGCCGTTGACAATGACAATGCGAGTGTCAGGCAGTTGGCCCTTTCCCTTGAGTCCTTTAAAACACATCTTAAATGCCGAGCACTTTGGCTGTTGCCACTGGCATCAAACAAAACGTAAACAAGTTGAAGAAAAATTAAAAAACAAAAAAGATAATAACAAAATACTCGCAGATAGTTGAAAAAAGCTGGAACCGACGAAAGAAAGTGCGAAGACAAAAGCGAAGGATTTCAAGTGCAGCTGTTGGCGACACAAATGAACACAAACACTTACCTACATACATACATACATACATATGCATTCACGAGCTTTCAAGCAACTTGGCACATGAATGCTACAAAAACGAGCATATGTGGTTGCAGTATTTCATATGCACTTTAGAGTGTGTGTGTGTGTGTGTGTGTCTGTGTGTGCGTACATATCAGAGAGCGTGGGTGTTAATGTGTATTTAAAAAATGTATTTAGGTAAGTTCATATACTTGGCAGCTGCATTAGCCAAATTAAAGTGTGCATAAAGCTGCTTACAGTTAAAGCGAACGGAAGAATAAGAATCAAATGGAATGCGGGAGTGAGCAGGAGTGGAGATAAAATTTGTAGTAATAACAATTAGGGTGGCTATAAAAAAGAAAATACCGATAGCATTGGGATACAAGAATGAAATCGTTACGATTTTTTATTTGTGTTCCCTAAAAGCTACATATGTATGGATGTTTGTATGTACCTAAAATTAAATGTACATAACTCTTAAAAATTATTCTAGAAATTCTGAAACAAGGAGATATTTATTGTACTTAGCTTAACTAAGCTTTAAAGCTATTCAGTAGTTATTTTGTTTGAAATAGAAAAATAGTTTGGAATTGTTTGAATTACATAACGGATACTCTGATGTGGCCTATTGTACATTCATTCAATAGGGGAATTATTCTTATCTCAGAACTTTACCGGATATTTAATTTAAAATTCCAATTCGACTCAGTATAATGTCACTTAGGTGAGCGGGATTGCGTGTAGCGTTGGAAAAACATTCTCAGAGAATATGTTCTGCCGTTTCTTTAGCCAGCTCACAGAAACGATCCGTACTTGTTTCCGAGATACTGATTTTACTAAAGTACCAGTCGAAGTAAAATTGTCTTCTGCTTGCTGCTAGTAGTTCTCAAACAGAGGCATTTTCGATAACAAGACTGAACAAAACGGTCAGCTGTTGTCAATTGCGAAGTAAAAATAAATGAAGCAAACAAGTAAGCTTACAGAGCAAGTGAGTTTGTCGCCGTGGTAGCTGAGTGACCAGAGCTGTGTACTACAACTCGGTAGGACATGGGCTCAATACACGGTCCGGGCAATTTTTATAACTGTATTACATATTTAATTTTATTTACTGTTTATATACTTAAGTATGTATTTTATTTTGTTACATTTTGTTTTGTGCTATCGCGCATAATTATGTCAAGCAATTTAATTTCTTACCGTTTTTTCGTTATTAAAAAGTATACACTGTATCAACCGATCCACGTAAAATCGATCAAGGCTGGATCGACCATCTTAAATTTGTATGAATTTTGGCAAAAACTTTTCTTTTATTACATAACAAAGTCCTACTAACGGTAAAAAAAATAATTTTTTTAACAAAAAAAATTTCAAATTTTACAATTTCACCTTTTGGAAGTTTTTAGGATCTTGTAAGATCTAGAGGTATTGTATACAAATAAATACCCAAAAATTTATATATATTTTTGTTTTTACGCTTTTTTTAATGAAAATTTTTTTTAAGTTTTAAATTTTTTTAAATAAATTTTTTTACAAATATCACCTTTAAAACGAGATCAGAACCATTTTTGTAAATATAATATTTTTTGAAATATTTAAAAAATAAAGTTCCAAAATCCGAGAAAATTTTGAACTTTCGAAACTTTTTTTCTTGTAAGCGTTATTTGTTGAGGGAAACTTTGAGTGGCTATAATCTCTCTCAAATCCACACTGATTTTTTTTGTCTTCAGAGCTCTTAAAAAAGTGGCTAAAATGCTATGCCGCTTTCTTCGAAAAACAAATTTTAATTTGTAAAAAATAAATAGAGCATTGGAGGACTGTTTTTATTAGGCATTCATAAAAAAAAAAAATATTAAGAGATTTTTCGTTTTTTTTTGAGTCTTTGCGAATATTTACATTATATTTATATATGTTTTTGACATCTTTTGGCAATTTTCACGTTTAACGCTAAAATTTTATTTTTTTTTGTTGTTGTAAAGTCGTGCAGAGTTATGTAGACGCAATCGGGAGTTTGTTTTCTTTACAAGGTTCTATTTAAAAATCCTCAAAAAAAACTACTTTCAATAAATTTTTTTTCTGCACTTCACAAATTATTTTTGGAATTCAGGACAAGTAGAAAGAAGTTCTAAATTTTATATTATCATTTTGATGTTATTTCTAACAGAATTCAAATATAGAAATGCAGAAAAAAATAATAAAGAATTAAAATGTAAAAAATACAAATTAAAATTAACAAAATGTTTCTTTTTATTTACATTTTATGTCCAAAAGTAGTTAGTTACAAGTTAGTTGACATGTAATGCAGAGATATCCAGGTCTGACCTTTTTGCGGTTATCGCCCAAACTTTTTTTTGTTGCTTTTTTCGAACAAAATATGCAGTTAACAGCTAGCATTAGTGTTTGCATAAGCAGACTAAAGTTAGGTTTAAGCTAACGTCACTCCCTGCAGTGATATTCCGAAAATCCAATTTTGGATAATTTTTTCACGAAATGGGGGCCGTATCTCTGCAATGGTTCGCACAGCGTTGCCATCTAAGGCTTTCAAAGTATTCGGTTCGTTCGTATAAACAAAACTTAACACAACTGACAATGACCTGCCAGACTTGACCAATCTGTGACTGTTTAAGCTTTATGAGAAAGTATTATATTTTGAAGCTCCAAAAAGGCGTATCTGATTATTGATGAAGTTAACTGATGTTGAAGTATCCAAAAATTTACGTAGCTAAACTAAGCAATGCTTTAAACAGAGGCTGCAGCGGGCTTCTAAAATATTTAGTTTCTAAGGCTATTGGGTAATGTTAGAATTCGAAGCAGTCAAATATTTATGCTCGCGTTTAAATGAAAATATTTTTATGTAATTCTTATATTTATGAGCTAGTATGCGAAGTTATTTTATAAATGCCAAGTGATTTTATTTAACTAACTATAATATATTTAACTAAATTGCTAACTCTTCATTTTTCTTTCTTAATTTTTCAGATCTCCAGCCAGTGCAACGCTTAAGATGTTTGAGCAATTATGACAAATGTTACGTAGAAACTATCAAACCCCTAGTATCTTCCCTAATTGAATATTTCATATTAAAATTCTTGAGCGCATAAAAACAACGAATATATAAAAGAAATAACAGAAATTTATCAAAAGTTCGGAGTTAATATTTAACTCTTCCGAAAAATTATACCTATTTTATAAAGTCGAAGGGTCTTCTATATAACCCGACGTTAAGCGAACTCCGTGTTGTGAATCTAAACCGTCAGCTGCACCGCCGCCACAATGGGTAAAAAGAGTTCAAAATTGAAACAAGACACCATCGATCGTCTAACGACAGACACATATTGTAAGTATAAAAAAATGTGTAAATATCATAAGTTTTTAGTTGGTTTTAGCATTTATTGGATTTTAACTCAACATACAGTTTTACTAAAGATTTTTAATTTCATAGGAAATGCTTTCAGAATGTAATAAATAAAATTATAGTTTAAACAAGTAAGAAAGTCTAAGTTCGGGCGAAGCCGAACATTAAATACCCGGCGCAAGTATTAAATATATGTTTTTTCACCTTTCCGAAACCTTCCGCTAGATGGTAAGCCGGGGTGTATCAATTTTGAGCAAATTAGCGTCCTTCAATTTCGAAATATTGAAGTTTCAAGCATTTCTGAAATTTACCGTTATATGAGAAGCGGCCGTTATTTTAGTCCGATTTCAATAATTTTCAACGTTTTGCTTACACGTGGCAAGTACAATTACCATACCGAACATACTCTACATACCTCATACCTTATATTCAATACCCTCTATCTGCATTTTTCACAAAAAATGAGATTGTGATATAAAAGTACACGTAAGACTTAACTGTCATCGGTGATATTAATGCTGACCTTTATTTATTCCGACGAATTTATAACCTCCTCCTTTTTTTAGTCGGTTGAAATTTAAAAATAAAAGCAGGAAAAAATGTATCATATACTTACGCTCTTAACTGAGGCTAAATACCTTGCAGTTATTTTAGACAAGGAACTTGACTGAAGGTGAAACATTGAATACCGCTTCAGGAAGCCCAATACCGCCCTGTATGCCTGTAAGGTCGTGGGCGCGCAGTGAGCGGCAAAGCGGCGAGCGGCTGAGCGGCGCCATACAGAAATGCCGCTCATTCGTGGCTACTTCAATAGTATTTTATATTTTTCAATTTAAAGCAGCTCGCCGCTTTTCCACCAATTGCATGGCCTCGGCCTAAGACGGCTATAGGCAAAAAATGGGGAATTAAACCACCTATAGTACACTGGATGTAAACAACTGAAATAAGACCGATCCTATTCTACGGGGTCACCGTATGGGTGGTCTGGGCTAAACCACACTTTGTCCAGAGCCAAGGTGGAATGAGTGTAGAGTGCCCACTACATCCACCAAATCTCCGGAAATAATGTTAAATCTTCCATCTTAGGATACCTACGGCATATTTTGGGCCGCCTGCAGTGCGCCCAGATTAAATACGACCCAGCCGTGGAGATACCTAAGATTCGGACACGCAAAAGTACTGGATAATCTACGACAGTTAGATTATACCACTCCTCTACTATGTTTAGACAACAAATTCTCTAAAAGAGTCCCAGAGAGGAACGAATGGCAAGGGGTCTACGGCTATATATACATATAGTTCCATGCTTAACAAAAAGAGTCTGTAGCGGGATTTACTCTGATAAACTCCCGTTAGACATAAGTTTTCGTTTACCGGATTAATGTAACGTTTTTTCAACCCGAGCTAAATACCATAATAGAAGCGGCTTGGCGGCTCATAACATCCGTCCCTCCAGGACGGTCTATTGCTATCTATTCTGACAGCTAGGCTGCTATCAAATCTCTCAAATCTAACAGAACAACGTCCACAGTAGCCATAGAATGCAGGAAGACTCTGAACCTGCTGGCATCAAAATGCTCCTTGACTGTTGTATTGTCCCTGGACACAGGGATATTCTTTGCAATTGCCTAGCGGGCGAGCTGGCAAGGAGAGGGCTGGAAATATCTAAAGTCAATTCTGCTCAGAATCAAGGTAATCACTGGACACTGCCTGATGGGCACACATGGAAAAAGGGTACGATACCCCACCAACAATTTTTGTCGCAGTTGCAGAGACGAGGAAGAGGTGGAGAGCATAAAATCAAAGAGCATCGAACATTATTTCTGCCGCCCTGTCCAACACGCGCAACAAATTCATCAACAAGTACTAGATTGTTTAGCCGACTTGAACTCGAAGGATGTCCTCGAGTTTTTTGTGCCATGTAAAACGCACTCGGAGGTTCAATTACCAAGGGAGGGAAAGAAACAAATGGCTTCGGCCAGTGGTATCACAACGGGCTCTGCGCGTGGGCAGCCACTCTAACCTAACCTAACTTAACCTACTTCAAAACTGTTGCTCAATAAAAGCAGTATCAAACATCAATCAAAATGTTTGAATTTAACGAAATTTTATTTGAAAAGATATGTGAGATCGAGGTCATAGTTTTACAAATAGTAAATTTTACAGTTTTTAATTTTAACTAGTTTGTAAACACGAAAAAAAACGTATAGTGTATAAGTGAAAGGATAATGTAAAAAAGTAGTCAAATGTTGACTAGATAAAGCATTGAAATTGAAATTGAAACAAGTATTTTTGTAGTGTATTAGAAAAATTGGTGAAAAAACATTAAAGCCAGGATATGTGTATGTTTATCGTTAACACGAATCACACAACTTTACCTTTCATTTAATTTTTAAAAACTTAAGAAAGTATATGCACTTCGAGTAAAGGTTGGCCACCCTGGTACTGAAAGACTAAATGAGAACAGGAACCGGAACGAAATTATAAATCGCAGTTTACTTGTAAATACGAGTTCACTTCTTGGAGAAAAAAGACAAACATTTCTAGGAAGTAGTTGTACCACCATCATCATTTTTTGTGACTTTTATCGATAATTTTTAATGTTTAATAACGAAAAAAAAAATTTAAAATAATATTTTGCAATATTCAAAAAGTAAGAATACAAAAAATGATTATTTGTGATGGAAAAAATAAAAATCATAAAAAAACGGATAATTATATCGAAAATATAGAAATCAATTTTTTACACTTACAGGTCTATTCTGCGCTGGTAATAAAAAGTTTGTAACCGGTAAATAAAGTTCCTGTCAATTTTTAAACCTTTTTCGCATTCTTGTAACCGGTAAATTTTGTTACCATCTCATAAGCTGGTAACAAAGTATTGCCCCGTGAAATATGCAATGCCAGAATTTGCACAATTCTTCATAGCTGAATTGCTGAATATTTTCACTGCATTACCAACGTTCCTAGAATCGCGGAGACAAGAACTGGTAACATTTTTTGGTAATAAAATTTTCCGGTTACAAAATCTTCGGTAACGTGCAGAATAGACCTGTTAAATTATGATTTTTATACCCGAGCGCACTTGTGCACAAGGGTATATTAATTTTGTTCACATAACGGTTGTTTGTAACAGCCAAAACGAATCGAGATAGATATAGACAAATGTATACATAAATGATCAGGATGAAAAAAGAAATCGATTAAGCCATGTCTGTCTGTCCGTCCGTCTGTCCGTCTGTCCGTGTACACGATAACTCGAGCAAAAATTGAGATATTTCAACGAAATTTGGTATGTAGGTTTCCCTTAATCCAAGGTAGGTTGGTATTGAAAATGGGCGAAATCGGACTTTAACCACGCCCACTTCCTATATAACGGTAATTTACAGAAATACGAAAACTGCGATATTTTAGTAACTACTGAAGATAATTCACTCAAAATTGATATTTACAATAATTTTTAGACGAAAAATAAGAATATTACAAATTTTTGGAAAATGGGCGTAGCCCACTTATGGTTACATGTGTATATCTTGGTAACCGCTGCACCAATTTCTTCCAAACTTGGCACAGTTGTTGGCCTTGGTACAGCATAAAAAACCACCGAAACTTGTTAAAATCGGACAATAACCACGCCCACATCCCATATAACGGTAATTTAGAGAAATACAAAATCTTCGATAAATCATTAAATATTGAAGCTAATTTATTCAAAATTGATGCTTGCAACAATTCTTTTATGGTAAAATTTTGGAAAATGGGCGTGGCACCGCCCACTTATGATCACATATAAGTATATCGGTAACCGTTCTACCAATTTGTACCAAACTCGGTATGGTTATTGTACTTGCCACGTGTAAGCAATACGTTGAAAATTATTGAAATCGGACTAAAATAACGGCCGATTCTCATATAAGGGTAAATTTAAGAAATGCTTGAAACTTCAATATTTCGAAATTGAAGGACGCTAATTTACTCAAAATTGATACACCTGGGTGAAAAAACATATATTTAATACTTGCGCCGGGTATTTAATGTTCGGCTCCGCCCGAACTTAGACTTTTTTACTTGTTATTATAAAGATGGTAACTGTTACGGTTCGTGAAGTAAAGTGCATCTAGCAAATTTTAATAATAAAGAAAACTAATTCAAAATTTACGTTTTTTGAGATTTTATAATAAAATTACTAAGCTTGATAAGGAAAACATGTTCAGTCCGACAAACAACCTAGCACTTCATATACATATATATATTTTTTTTTTGTATTCCAACTATTAAAATATTATATTATTATTAATATAAATATTGACTTTTGAAACTTAGGTAACTTATTTATTAAGCATTTTCCTTAAGAAAACTGCAGCATTGCGAAAAAATAAGTTCTTTCTAATTAATTTTTTTTCCGAGAAATAATTAAGTTCATTGTTACTCAATGGTTTCAGCTAAAATTGTAATAGGGAGGTCCCTATATTTCTTCTCCTCAAGCTCGGATTTTCTCTCTACGGTTCTGCTTTTGAGTAATGCAAATTTGAAATTCTTCTGAGGAACGAACCAGTGTTATATGTCGTTTCTATATTAATTTAACGAAGAAGTAATTTTTAAATTAAAAACAAAAAACACCACAAATTAAAGCCCTCAATCGAATGTTGCAGATATTCTTGCAAAGCTTCCATAGAGATTTAAACAAATTCGAAAATTGCGCATTGCCACAGCATTGCTTGGTGGCTTTCACATAACCACTTAACACAGTGTCAAATGTTCAGTCGTCATTAATTACAGCTTATTTAATTGCACTTGAACATCAGGTGGATATAAAGATTGTGTAATTAAATAAATGTACAGCAGCTGTTGACCTACATACGTACTTTGAATGGAGATATAATTTCCATGACTGCTTTTTTTCAGGCGAGGATTTGGTGAACTTTTTTTATTATAACATCATCATAATTAGTTTATTTAAAATCAATTTAAATGATGAAAAT